GTAACTGTCACTCAGCTTTCAGCACTGTCGGTACCTAGCCTTCGCTAGGCTCCTTTCCTGGACCATTTTAAAGTGTATCTCAGACACTTTTCATTTCATCAATAAATACTTAGATAGGAGACATTCCTTATTTCACAGTGAGATATTTGTTCATTCTAGTGCCTGTTGTGTGCTTGGAATTGATCTAGGCTCTTGGGACATGTGAGTGGATAAAATAAACCAGGCCCTTACGTTCTAGCTTGGGAGACAGAAAGCAAGCTAGACACATAAATAACCAGAACAAGGAAAAAATTGATTTCATCAAAATTTAAAACTTCTGCTTATCAAAAGACAACATTTATAAAATGGAAAGGGAGAAAATATTTGTAAAACATGTATCTGACAAAGGATTTATATCCGGAACACATAGGCTCAATAATAAAACAGACAAGTGATGTAAGAAACGGGCCAAAGGCTAACAAGGACTTTGCAAAGCATGTAGCATCATTCAGCACCATCGCTAGTTACCGGGGAAATGCAGAGTAACTTCACACACACTCACTAGAAAGACTAAAATTGAAAAGGCTGACAGTGTCAAATGTTGGTGAGGAAGTGGATCAGTCACAATTCTTGACACTGCTGGTGGCCGTATAAAACAGTACAGCCACCTTGAACATCAGTCAGGCAATTTCTCATACAGTTAAGCACACACATCTGCCCTCTAGCCCAGCAAGGCCACCCCTAGGTGTTTACATAAAAGCAATGAAAATCTATGTTCATGAAAGACGTGTGCAAGAATATTTATAGCAGCTTTATCATAACAGCCCAAAAGGGAAGTAGCTCAGTGTCCGTCAACAGGATTGTAAATCTGTGTGGTGGAATAGTGCTCAGCACCGAAGTGGAGCACATTGCTGACCCATGCAACACAGACATTGCGCTGAGCGGAAGAAGCCAGACCCTCCTTCCCGCCGGAAGTGTATATATTGTCTGATGTCATTTGTATGAACTTCTGGAACAGGCAAAACTAATCTATTGTGGAAGAATTCTGAGCGGCGGTTGCCTCCAGGTGCGGGAGCTGGGAGGGGAGTGGGTTACGGGGAGTGAGCGTGAAGGGCTTGAGAGAGTTCTGGGGGGAGAAGGCAGTGTCCTCTGTCTTGAGAGGGACAGTCCTGAGGGACCCTCAGCAGCTCTCTGGGCTTCTCTTTCTGCCATCTCTCCTCTCCTTTACTCTGCCCCACAAGCTCTAGCTGCCCTCCTCTCTGCTAGGAGGTCCCTGGGCTCTGTCTGTGGCCTGCGTCCATTCTTCAGGCAGTAAGCTGGCACTCACCTGGTTTGTTTCTCATCTCTCAGGATCACTGTCTTTTGGTGCCTGATCTCCAGTGTCTTGTGCTGTTGTTTCATAGATTCTGCTTTTTTCTTTTTTATTTGTTTCATGCATGAGAGTAAATCCAGTCCCTGTGACTCTTGACCAGAAGTCGATGTCCTGGACTGGACAATATATCTATTGAAAAAAAAAAGTCTCACCCCTTAAAATGCAAGGCAGAGATTTTGTTTTTTCTTTGCTTTAATTCCAGTATCTAGTACAACCAAAAATACTTGGCATACAGTAGGCCCTAAGTGAAGATTTTGGAACAGACACATGATTCATTCTTTCTTACTTTCTTTCCTCCTTTTACTGTTGAATTACAAATGTTGAATAGCAAACCCGATGCTTTATCTAAAACAGCATTTTCTAAAAGGTCCTTTGGAACACTGGCCTCTTGATTCTTTATAAACAAAGGGCTCTGTAATGAAATTAGTTTGGGAAACACTTATGTACTGAGAAATTCTGTGATAAAGACACTTGTTTAAACCAGAGTTTTCTACACTTATTTGACCAGGAATATTTTTTCCCCTCAAAACACCTATTGACCTTTTATATAATTTATCTTTTCTGGAACACATTCTGGAGAAATGGTGATCTGATGTTGTACATCTTGTAAGTGTAATAAAACTATATACATTTATCTTTTTCACTCTTTTATAAGAGTGATACAATATGTTACTATATTATATTGTAATAAATACAAGATATTTTTGTATGTAAATTACATATGATAATTTATATATTTTTAAGCAACTTTATTGGGATATTCACATACCATACAATTCACCTATTCATACTATGATTTAATGGATTTAAGTATACTCACAGACATGTGCAACCATCACCACAGTAAATTTTAGAACGTCTTCATCACCTTTTAGATATTATCCACCACCGCTACCCCACTGTCTCCCATCTCCTGTCCTGTGCTCCCGCCCAGCCCTAAGGAACCACTATTCTACTTTCTGTCTCTATAGATTTGCCCATTCTGGGTATTTCTTATAAAAGGAATCACATAGTATGTGGTCTTTTGCAACTGGCTTCCTTCACTTAGTGTAATGTTTCCAAAGTTCATCCATATCATGGTTTGTATTAATACTTCTTTCTTTTTGTGGCCGATTAACATTCTGTTGTACTGATGTACCTCATTTTGTTTACCCATTATTCTGTTGCTGCACATTTGGGTTCTTTCTACCTCCTGGCTATTGTGGATAATACGGCTGTAAAAATTTGTGTCCAAGTTTTTGTGTGGACGTATGTTTTTATTTCTGTTGGGCATATACCTAGGAGTGGAATTGCTGGGCCGTAAGATACACTGTGTTTAATCTTTTGAGGAGCTGCCAGACTCTTTTCCAAAGTGGCATCATCATTTTACATCTCCACTAGCATTGTATGAGTGTTCTGATTTCTCCACATCCTCACCAACACTTGTTATTACCTGACATTTAAAAATTTTTCTTTTTAATTTATTATTCATTTTTGGCTGCGCCGGGTTTTAGTTGCGGCATGCGGACTCTTAGCTGTGGCATGCATGTGGGATCTAGTTCCCTGACCAGGGGTCGAACCTGGGCCCCCTGCACTGGGAGTGTGGAGTCTTACCCACTGGACCACCAGGAAAGTCCCTTATCTGACTTTTTGATTCTAGCCATTGTAGTGGGTGTCGCATTATAGTTTTGATTTGCATTTCTCTGATGACTACTCATGTAGAGTATGTTTTCATGTGCTTTTTGGCCATTTGCATATCTTCTTTGGGGAAATGTATATTCAACTACTTTCCTTTAAACATTTTTTTTTATTAACTTTTGGCTGCGTTGGGTCTTTGTGGCTGTGTTGGGTCTTCATAGCTGCGCATGGGCTTTCTCTAGTTGCAGCGAACAGGGGCTCCTCTTCTTTGCGGTGCGTGGGCTTCTCACTGTGGTGGCTTCTCTTGTTGTGGAGCACAGGCTCTAGGCACGAGAGCTTCAGTAGTTGTGGCTCACGGGCTCTAGAGCGCAGGCTCAGTAGTTGTGGTGCATGGGCTTAGTTACCCTGCGGCATGTGGGATCTTCCTGGAACAGGGCTCGAACCCGTGTCCCCTGCATTGGAAGGCGGATTCTTAACCACTGCACCACCAGGGAAATCCCCTCAGCTCCTTTTAAAATTGGATTTTTAAAAAATCATTGAGTTATAAGATTTCTTTTTTATATATTCTGGATTAAGTCCTGTATCAGGTATTGATTTGCAGAACACTTTTCCCATCCTGTGGCTCATCTTTTCACTTCTTTTTGGTGGTCTTTGAAGATAATGTTATTTGAAGCTTTTAATTTTTTTTTTTTTGCGGTACACGGGCCTCCCACTCTGCTGTGGCCTCTCCCACCGTGGAACACAGGCTCCGGATGTGCAGGCCCAGCAGCCATGGCTCACAGGCCCAGCCACTCCGCGGCATGTGGGATCCTCCCGGACCGGGGCATGAACCCACGTCCCCTGCATCAGCAGGCAGACTCCCAACCACCGTGCCACCAGGGAAGCCCTGAAGCTTTTAATTTTGATAAAGACCAATTTATTAATTTTTTCTATTGTTACTCATGCTTTTGGTGTCATTATCTTATATATAATTTCTAGTCCCTACTTTTAGCAGAGTCAGAACAACAGCCTTCATTTGGTTTGTCATCGTGACAAAAAAACAAAAAAAAAATGGTTAAAATAGTTAAAGATAGTTACCATTAGCTTTGAGGCCATATAATACTTGATGAGTAATACTTTTAATTAACATCAAATCAAATGGCATTTGGCTGAGAATTCCATTCATGGTGTAAAGTAAATGGAAAATGATATGTTTTAATTGAATTAAATAGCATAATGAAAAATAAAATCAATGTTATTGATTTTAAAGCATTTTATTCAATAAAATTCTTCCTCCCCCCACTAAAATTTATGTTATTAATTCTACTCTATCAGTGACATTTCCCCTTAACCTGTTAACCTTCAGACAACACAAAATGACTGTTAGATGAAGACATTGGTGATTGACACCTGGAACAGGAGTGGCTGTTCATTGGCAACAGTGCTTGGACATGAACGATGATGTATGATGAGCATATGCATGTTGTTAATTAGGATATACTTAGAAGGATGATAGTCAGACTCTTTGCTCTAGGGGAAGAGGATGAAGCAGTTGTTTTAAAATTATGTTTTCTTTACACTGGGACTTGGGCTTCTGTTGGGAAGCTAAAGAGGGGGAGGGCTGGCTCCCTGACTTGTATCACAGCAGTTTTTGTTTAATCTGTTCTACAGAATGGGAGTTCACGGAAATGTACTTTGAGAAGAGGGCTTCTCTGTTTTTTTTTTTAAGTAGTAAATTGAAATGTACCAGTAAAAATAATTAAAACATGGAAGTTTTTTTGTAAGCTGGTTGAAAATTACTTTTTCTATCAAAGTAATGTAGCATTGCTTCCTGAGTCAGCAGTATGATGATGTGGTATGCCCCAAATCTGATTTCATGCATTTCATAAAGGACTTTGCACACGCGATCAAATCCACCTCAATGTAAAGGAGAACTCGAGGCTAATTTTATGATATTTTTCATCTAGTGTGTCACTTAATGTTGACTTTTCGACTAACTTGTGTGTCTTTTCTTTATGTTCAAAGGTTTTATACCGTTTTTATTTTCTTCCAGGTTATGTGTGCCCAGTGAGCCACCCCTGACACAAGAAGCATCATCAGCCTTTATTAGTGATGGATACTGAGAAGAAACCAGAGAATGATGAGGGTGACAGCGCAAACAAGGCAGCAAAAGACTGGAGAAATAGTTCACCCCGTGATGTAGATTGTGGGCCTGTATCTGTGGTGATAGCAGATTCCTCTGAAAATTCCACAAGCAAAAGAGGCTTTTTAGAGTCATCAGACTTTGACAGCGCTGTCGTGGGGAATGATGGAAATGAACACGCTTCCAAGAGAATGAAATTAGCTGAGGCAGAGCCCCTCCAGTCGGGAGAGCTGGGCATCCCTGGGTCAGAGAGGCCTGAGGGCTCAGGCCCAGAAGCGGGTGTCCCGTTGGCGGGGACAGGGGTGGGGGCCCTCCTTAGTGACCCTGATGGAGGCGTGTGTCTTCCTGGTGCCTTTGCTGCCCCCTGCAACGTTAACCCCACGGACGCTGCTTCTCTGGAAACAGATGCTGAGAAGAAGCCCGCTCAGGAAATGGTTTTCCTTGATCCAGGAAGAGAGCTTCCCTTCCCCCAGAACGAGATGCCTGCGAGCAGTACCCTCGGAAGTGTGGATGCAGTTCTGCAGTGCAGTGCGTGTGGTCACTCGTTTGTTTCCTGCTCCGATTTGGAGAAGCATGCCGAGTGTCACATGCAGCAGCCTGAGGACCACGCCTGTGGCCCCTGTGGCCACAAAGCGGAGAGCAGCGCAGCCTTACATGTGCACGTCAGGCAGGCGCACGGGCCGCAGAGGGTCTTTTCTTGTGACCTCTGTGGCTTTCAGTGTGTGGAGGAGAACCTGTTGAACGCACACTATCTTGGCAAAACACATCTCCGGCGTCAGAACCTTGCTGCTCGCGGAGGGTTTGTACAGATCTTAACCAAACAGCCTTTTCCTAAGAAGCCATGTCCCATGGGAACAAAAAGTGTTCATACAAAGCCAAGAGCGTCTAAGCCAATAGCAAAGAATGGCAGTTCAAAAGGATTACGAAACGTTGGAAGCAAATTTAAAGATTTCAGAGGAAGCATTTCTAAACAAAGTGGAAGTGGCAGTGAGTTGCTGGTTGAAATGATGCCATCCAGGAATACTTCGCCAGAAAAAGTAGAGATTGTTGAAGAAAATGTAACCTCCCTCGATATACCTCGGAATCCTGAAAACCAGAGTAAAAAGTTAGGAGACTTAGTCACCTCAGAGGGTCTCCTAGAGAAATTGGAATCTACCAGAAACACCCTCCAGGCAGCCCACGGTGTCAGTACGGCCTCAAGACCTAGACCTGAGCGGAACGTTCTCATGCTGGGCAGCAGCTTCCGACGACGCAGCGGTGCTTTCGCCCTAAGGGGCCAGGCGAAGAAAAGGTTCACTCTTTTAGGAGTTAACAAAAGAGGCACTACTGAAACTCAGAGGCTGTGCTTGAAACACTTTAGAACACAGATGAAAACAAGTGATGCTGAGTCAACACCTCAGCATGCAGAAACCGGTGGCAGCATCCAGGGTCTGTGCGTCACATCCGCAGAGACCCAGGACCTGAGGCAAGACAGGAGAAGCTCCCATCTCCCATGCTCCTTTGACTCAGTGACGGTGAGGCCGCCTTCGGACGACCAGGTGTTGTGTACGTGTACAGACTGTGGACACACAGCCACAAACAGGACAGAGTTGGAAATCCATGGGAAGAGGTGCCACGCAGGAGAGATGCAGTCTCACTGCCAGACATGTTGCTTTTCCAGTGCGTCCAGGAGGGACTTGGATGCACACTCGCACAATAACCAGCATCAGCAGACCGCCCCCGGCCTCAGTTGTCAGTGTTGTTCCTTTACTTCCTTGAATGAAATGTACCTGAGAGAACACATGAAGGAAAAGCACAGTAGGGGTTTCCTTTGCACGCCTTGTGATCTGTGCTTCTCGTCTGAGAAAGACATGGAGGAACACAAGACAACTGAGAAGCACATTCACTTGTTGGGTCAGCCAAAGACTTCTCAATCATTTAACAATGATTTGGTTTTACAGACTTTACCTTTAAGTACTTTAGAATCAGAAAATACAAAAGATTCTGTGAGTGAGTCAGGAAAAGCAGCTCAGGAAGAGCCAGTTCAGTCCAGGGTAAGCCATGGAAATGAAGTAAGACATGCGAATAAGCCTCAGTTTCAGTGTAAGAAGTGTTTTTATAAAACAAGATCTTCCACTGTTCTCACAAGACACATAAAACTCCGCCACGGTCAAGACTATCACTTTCTGTGTAAGGCATGTAATCTTTACTCATTGAGCAAAGAAGGAATGGAGAAACACATTAAGAGAAGCAAACATCTTGAAAATGCTAAGAAAAATAATATTGGCTTAAGCTTTGAAGAATGTATTGAAAGGGTCTGCATAGGTGCAAATGACAAAAAAGAAGAGTTTACCATTTCTGGGAATGGAAGGATAGAAGGCCATGTGGAAGGTGTGCAATTCCAGGAGCACACCTGTCTCGACAAGAGCATCCTCCTTCCCCAGGAACTGTCACAATCTGGTGTAATCACCAAAGAGGCTGAATTAACTTTGACCACTGCCCCAAAGAGAGGGAGACCTAAAGGTAACATCTCACGGACGTGTTCACATTGTGGTCTTTTGGCCTCGAGTATTACAAACTTGACCGTGCACATTAGACGAAAACACAGTCACCAGTACAGTTATTTATGCAAAGTGTGTAAGTATTATACTGTAACTAAGGGAGACATGGAACGTCATTGCGCCACCAAGAAACATAAAGGACGTGTAGAAATAGAAGCGAGTGGAAAACCAAGTTCAGATATCATTGTTGGCCCGGAAGGGGGGAACCCTGAAGCCTGTAGGAAGAACACCACTTCAGCAGTTTCGGATGTACCTGCCAACGAGTCAGCTGAAGCAGACACCTGTGTTTCGGAAAAGCCAGTACTAGAGCAAGGGAATCCAGTTGAAGTCGACGTTGAGAACGTATTTCATTCTACAGATGGGGAAACTAACGGTCACATTCTTGAGAGAAAGGAACAAACGTCTCTAGAACCAGAGGACCTTATGCATCAGGGCAGTGCCTGCTCCCAGGGAGATGACGCAGGTACAGGAGATAACAAATGTGCGCGCTGTGAGTTTAACGCTTACTCTTCTCCTTCTCTAGAACTGCACGTAAAACGGAAACATACAAGAGAGTTTGCGTTTTATTGCATGGCGTGTGATTACTATGCTGTGACTCGGCGGGAGATGACCAGGCACGCAGCAACAGAAAAACATAAGATGAAAAGGCAGTCTTACCTGAACTCTTCTAACGTAGAAGCCAGTTCTGCAGAAATGTCCAAAACCATCGTTATTCCTGAAGGGCAGCATCAGCAAAGTTCTGAAGAGTTTCAGATAATTTCAGACCAACCCTCTGAAACTCTAAGAACTAGAAATGCTGCTGATTGTTCTATTTTGGATGAGAATACTAATTTAGATATGTCCAAAGTGCTCTGCGCTCCTGGCTCTGTAGAAATTGAGACTGAGGAAGAATCTAATCTCAGCGAAGATCATTCCTTTTGTGAAGCTTTCCAGCCGCCCCTTGCCAAGGATAAAGTTACAAAACCGGAGGAGATGGTGTCCCTTAATATTTCCTCTAATTATGGCTCCCCAGGCAACTTTCAGAATGAAAATTCAGGAAGCTCAGCTTTGAATTATGAGACAGCAAAGAAAAACCACAGTATGTTGAATGACGTCAGTGATCCAGACACACATTTCAAGAGTGATGGCGGAAACGTAGGGGACAAGGCAGATAAAGTCCTTGGCAAACGTGTGTGCCCCGGAGCTCTAGAAGGAGAGCATTCGGCTGAGAGCACCATGCTGAGAGCAACTGGAGAAGAGCTCAACCTGGGTGGCAGTGGTCAGAACAAAGTTGGAAGTGTGCAGAGTTCAGGGGATTTGAAAGATGTGCCAGAAGATCCCGTTCTAGAGAATAAGGAGATTCTGATGAATTCCCAACATGAAAGTAAAATAATTTTGGAAGAGGATGGTCCAGCTTCTGATAGCACCGTTGAAAATACTGATGTTTATGAAACTATAATCAGTATTGATGATAAAGGACAAGCCGTGTACAGTTTTGGCCGGTTTGATTCTTCCATCATAAGGATAAAGAACCCCGAAGATGGGGACCTGTTAGACCAGTCTGAAGAGGGGCTCATAGCAGCAGGAGTGAGAATGAGTGAGTTGCCCTTAAAGGACTGTGCTCAAGGTGTGAAAAAGAAGAAATCCGACGGCAGTTCCCTTGCCGAATCCACACGAATTCGTTGTGATGACTGTGGCTTCTTAGCAGATGGTTTGAGTGGACTGAATGTTCACATAGCCATGAAGCATCCTACAAAAGAGAAGCACTTCCACTGTCTGCTGTGTGGAAAGTCGTTCTACACGGAGAGCAACCTCCATCAGCATTTGGCCAGTGCTGGTCACATGAGAAATGAACAGGCCAGCGTTGAGGAGCTTCCCGAGGGAGGGGCCACCTTTAAATGTGTCAAGTGTACAGAGCCCTTTGATTCTGAACAGAATTTATTTCTGCATATTAAAGGGCAGCATGAGGAACTGCTCCGAGAGGTGAATAAGTACATAGTGGAAGACACTGAGCAAATCAACCGCGAGAGAGAGGAAAATCAGGGGAACGTTTGCAAGTATTGTGGGAAGATGTGTCGCAGTAGCAATTCGATGGCATTCCTAGCACACATTCGCACTCACACAGGTAAGTAAAGTGCAGCAAATCTCTCTTTACCCACCAGGTGCAGAGGAGTGATAGAGTTCGGACATTTGTTCCCATCCAAATGTGGAGTCCTTAACTGCATTTGCCAGTCGGCCTCCACCCAGTTCACCTCCCACTGCCCCGTGGCTCTGGACACTGCGATAGTCTTTGTTGACACTTAACATTTCTTAAGGTAATTAATTGAGCCTTAGTGATTCCAAAGGCACGATGTTTGGCAGATCTCTTTTATCAAGAAGCCTAGTCCCTCTGATGCGTTTGTTAAATTCCTGTCTCTCACAGCCTTTCAGTTGTCTCTAAGTCCTAGTTGTTTGGTTTTCCAGGGTGTCTATTAAGTGGCACTTTGGGTTTCAGAGGACATATTAAGTGGCTTTTGAGGAGTGGAATATGAAATTTTTCTTACAGTTTTAGGGATTTAAATGTATTCATTGCCAGATAGTTTATATCCCAAAGTGTAACTCCCAGGCAACAAGATTCTGCTTTCAAGGATCAAAATTAGTGAACACTTTTCAAAGTTAATATGTCCTGGGGATTTGGTTTGCATGGAGGTAGCACTTGATTTAATTTCTGTGCTGTCACATGTAGTGTTCCATTTTAATGTTCAATTTTAGGTAGAAATTTTTTAAGAAAACTTTTTGTGGAAAATACATAAGCCACTATTCTAAATTTATGTTAAAATTCACTGCACTGTTTCTATAAACCTGCCATACATTCTTTGTTTTAAATGGACAGCTTTTCTAAATCATTGTGCTCTGCTTAGACAAGTTCTGTCTCCATGGTTGAATTTATGAGTGGATTTGAATAATAAATTCACATTTCAATGAACATATTTTCATTAAAACTGTAAGGTTTATTTTACTGTACTTTTAAACAATGGCTTATTATTAAAGATATACTTTAAATTCATGCAGTTTTTGAAACTTAGTGCACGGTTACAAGGAGGAAGACAAAAGGGTATGAAACATTATTAATAGTTTAGGGTGATTAAAGATAGATGAAAGTTTTTCGCTGAAGAAAGTAACAGGGCAACCTGCATAAGGTTAATCTAGGTAAATATAAACATTGTACTCTTGATCCCAGCTCTTCCCATGTAGTAGAACCACCCCTGGAGAGTAAGGTCAGATACTTATTTGTTGGCCTTATTAATACCTCTGTCGGTACCGTGTTGCCGCTCACTTTCTGAAATGATATGGTTTTAGAAATCAGGCTCGTTCATGTGTGCAGAAAATAGGTTCTTTCTTAACATGCCCCCTTAAGGCAGATAAAACTGAATAAAACTAAGAGGAAGATGCTAATGGAGCTCTTTTTAGAATTCTTTATGCAACTGTCTGGTCAAGACATGTTGCTTATAATTGATGTGTCCATTACTTGAATTCTCTTGTAATTATAGTCAATAAGTCTTGTAAATGTGTTAAAGCTCACTAAAAGCATACAAATTCAAGAACAGAGTAAGGCTAATAATTTAAAATAATCAATGTAGGCATTTCAGCACTTAATTTCCCTTGTGTGTTGATAGCTGATCATTCTTAATCCATTAAGATTTATTTAGTCGTTTACAATGCAAAATAGGTTTGCACTGGTCACTTGTGCCATTTGAAAATGTCCACCAGGTTAAGTGCAGAATGTAGTCCATTAGTCTTCCTTGACTATATGTATTAATTGCATTTAAAATCAAGTTAATGTGGATGTGAAAGTGAGGTAACTATCAATGTGTGACAGAGTAACCCTACTTATATAAGTTACATCATTGATTGTAACATTTAGTAAAAGTTAGCATACTTTTTAACATCTCCTGTTGGCTTATCAGCAAGTACATTTTTATGGTGTTCTGAGGCACCGCAAAGAGCTCTCTTCCTGAGTCCCCAGTGCCAGCCGACATTTCAATTTTGCAAGTCATTTTTTGCTGGGAGGTTGCTATCCAGGTTTTAATCCAAGGCTTTTTTGTCGTTGTTGTTGTTTTCTTTTGTTTTTTTTCCTGGGGGCATCTTAAAAAGAATTGCTTCTCTGATACTTTGCTTATGTCCATGAAATAGTAATTCAGGGACTGTTATTAATGGTTAACTGGAAAAGGGCTTATTCTTCCAATCCCTGTTTTCATATTTTGTGATTTACTATATGTTTTATGTAACCTTTTCTTCCCATCCTTAACACTATAAAAGCAGCACTTGAAGAAACAAATGAGTTTTGGTTATCAAGGATTGTGGGATAAAAGCCTCCCAGAGTTTTCCTGAGTGCTCGCTGGTATGAAGCCATCCACATGACCAGAAAGTGCAGCGTCTCCTTTCCCTTTGCGTTAGTAATACAGGAAAAGCTGTTCATTTTCTCTCTGGCATTGTTCTGGTAGTTAGAGCTTTAATTTCCTATACCAGAGGTCATTAAGTCAGAAGACTCTCTGAAGCCCTTAACTTGCTGTTCAGAGCCTGCTGGTCTCTGGCGCTATTTGGAAATGTCCACACGTGGGAGAACATTAGGGCTGGTGGTGTTTGTACCTTAATAAGTGACGGTTTAGAAGCCAGAACAGCTTGGGAAGAGGCGGTTAGGGGGAGTTAGTGCGTTGAGTTTAAGCGCAGTGAGGGCAGGGCCTCTGCTTTGCTCACTGCTTCACCCCCATGTGGTGCTGGCTTTCAGTGCTGTTTGTTGAATGAAGGAGTAAACAGATGAGCAGAGGAACCAGTGAAGTGTTCAGTGTAGGGAGGATTGTAGACTGGAGAAGCATTAATTAGATAATGGGTTGTATCCATCTTACTTGATTCTTTAAGACCTAAAGTCTCCTTATGATTTTTTAAGTGCCAGTGTCATGTCCATGTATGCCTAGCAGTTGGCAGTGAATGAAGTTGAGGAAGGCCAGTGCAGGTCTGAGGGGGAGGCTTTGTTTTTAAAGTCTTTGGAATTCTTTAGGTAACATTGTGAGGTGCCAGACAGCTAGAGACCCTCTTTCATTTTTCCCTTTCAGAAAACCTCACAGGCCAAACTAAAACAAAACAAAAACTACTGAGGGTAATGCTGTCGCATGGAGTGGGACTATTTAAAATAATATTGACAGTTTATAATAATCTCAACATGCCTGAAAGACAAATTTAGAAATATATGGTCTTACAAATTTCGCCTTAAAAACACTATGCCTGGATTCATTTTGGAATGGGCCTAGCAGGCTTAAAAATGGTAACGCTATCAGTTAGGAAAAAAAATGGGACATTTCTTGTTTTCTTATACAGAAAAATGTTACCCCTAGTCCCATAGTATTAGAATTTTTATGGCCAGGAAGGAGATGTTAACACATCTCTGCATGTAAGATACAAAAAGTAGTCAGGGCCTCCGTGATTTCTACATGGAAACAGTCAACAGGGTGACTCGTGGATGTGTTGTCAGCACACCAACAGTGATGGCTGAAACCCGAAGGAACTGCGGTTTCCACCAGGGAGCCACGGACAGTCCACTGAAAGCGCTGAAGGTCTGTGTCTGGCCCCCGTGGCCCGTGTGCTGCCACACAGAGGAACTCACACCCTGTAGTGCAGAGCGAGCACACAAGGGCTTGAGTCACAAGATATTTTGGATCCTTTCACCAAAATTGTAATAATACACGTGTTGAGAGAGCTTTATATTCTTCGTTTAGAGTCCCGATGTTATTGTTGATTAATAATTTCCTAATTACCTTTAATGCAGTTTAATTTAAAGTACAAGTGAATTGGTTCTTCTCACTCTTTTCTTTTACAAGTCCCTTTATAGAATGCTGTGTCAAGATGAAATGTTTCAAAGTAGTGATAGGCTTAGTTTTATCAGAATCATTTAAATAAACTGTAGTTTCTAATGTAACTGATAGAATGTGATTGCTGTAAGCTGCAGTCTCAACCTGCTTTTGACATTTAAACATATAAAGCTGACTAGATACAACCATTCAGGTGCTAAATATATTTTACCTCTACTTCTAACAGTAGAAATGGAAGTATTAGAAGATCTGGCTTCATTGTCTTTGAACTGTGAAATATTCAACTTTGCCCGTGCTTAGTACTGTTGACTTTTTTATTTCTGTTAGAAGATTAAAATTAAATGCTTCACTTTTTTTTGTCAGCTTTTGGGAATTAAATTGAAATTTAAGACTCTAAAATTTTTTACTGAGCACTTCAATTTCAACACAGTATTCTTGGAGGATTTTTTTTCAAGGGCATTGGGCAAAGTTCCATTGATCAAAAATGATTTACTGCAACTTTTTAATTTGAGCTCTTTTTGTATATTTATTAAAGTTCACATATTTCATATTCTGTCTAACTGTATTAGAAGAGGTACTTCACCAAGTAGGTACTAAACATGCTATGAAAAATTTGGAAACATTGTACCAATTTTAAACTGTGTTTTTTTTAATAATTTTATTTTCTTGAGGATTTAAAGGTTAGAATTAGAAAATGGTATATATGTGTTACACTTTTGAAAGAGTGTTGCTTCTTGTTAATATGGGTACTGATTATCAATTAGTAACTATTTTCCAGTTAGAATCTCCCTATTACTGACAGTAAGTTTGTGGACTCTTGAAATAATTTTGTCTCCTCATTTTTGAGTATAGATTAATCTTATTTCTTTATGAAATAAAAAAATTGTTGGTACTGTGCCTTTTATGTTGAAATGTTCTTGAAATCAACAATAGCCATAATGTCAGTAATTCTGATTTGCTGAATCATCACAGATTTTTGGCTCTAAAATGATCATAAAAGCAAATAATTTATCCACTATATATTCTTACATTGTATGGTATTGAAAGAGTAATATTGTGAATAATTTGGGATAAATGTTAGAAAAAAAACTGAAATATTAATGTGAAAAAATTCAAAGCTGTAGAAATATGAGGGAACAGGGATGTGGCCACTGAGAAATTTATTTGATAATAAATATATTTTTAAAAAACATCAGCTACTCTGTATGCATTTATGTTTTAAAAATGTTCCATTTAAAATGTTAAATGACTTTTAAAACTATTTTTGTGAATTATAAGAAAAATATTTGAAATTATGTAGCTCATCTCATCTGCTTAGTACTGCTCAGGTGTATCACCTTTGACTTTAAATTTTAGAAATGTTATTGAAAGTTAGAAATACTCATTGGAACATTAAAGTCTTCTTGGTGGAATAATTGTGGAATGTGTGTCTGTTCAAGTTAGAAAGGAATGCAGGTATTCCATTTGGGGGACAGAAATTTGTAATTAGATTATAAGTATGATTTAAGATCTGGGCCTCTTTTAAAACTTTATCAGTAATGTATTATTCAAATTCAAATCATACTTTATGTTAAATTTATTTAGGATCAAAACCATTCAAGTGCAAGATATGCCATTTTGCAACAGCTCAGCTTGGCGATGCCAGAAACCATGTCAAAAGGCACCTTGGGATGAGGGAATACAAGTGTCATGTCTGTGGGTGAGTAAATTGAAACCGTCTCTACCGTGGTGAACCAGGAAGCATGTGCAGGATATCCATTGTTTCAGAATTCAAAACTGATAGGAGTAAGAGTGGCTAAAATTATGCATGCGTATCCTTCTTTCCATTGTTATGGTAAATTCCTTAAACACAGTTATGACATTCTTCTCCCACTTCTAATCCTGTACTGAAGATGAGCAATTTTATGGGCTACAAGGTCAATTTGAACCTGTAATCTGTAAATTGACTAAATTATAGGATGTTCATTCATATTGCCAGAGAGAAGTGTAAATTCCATTTAAAGACATAAAAAAATACATAATATAGCTTCAGGACTGTATATGTATGTTTTTTTTTCTTTTGCTATACCGCTTTAATTTTAATCACATTAATAGTTCTTTGGATACATTGGACACATTCTATAAGGAAAAAAGCAGAAAAAGATTTAATTTCAGAGAACTGATTATTGCAGGGATGACGCTTAAAAAACCAGTGTATAATGTAGGTTTTTGTGTAACGTTATTTCAAAACTTGTTTTTTTCCTGTTTTAGTTAATGGCTCTTTCCTCTAAAGAATCATTCACAATGTTTAATTGTCACTCAAATGTGTTGCATTTAATAGGAAGCAATGAGACGCCTTAATGCAACACTAATTAATTTAGCAGAAATGTTTGAAAGGTTTTAAAATGCCATGACATCTATGGTATATCATAGGACATTCAGAGCTGGATTTTAATACCTTACTTCTGATTAAAAGTATATTTTAATGCTGTTATGCTAGAGAAATTAACTAATAAGTGCATCGTATAAAAACACTATGTGAAACCTGAGGAACCTGCAGTTCTTATGGTTAATTCACAAAACACTTCGGATTCAATTAAATTATGCAATGCGTACATGTTATATATATATAACTCTCCCGTTGCGGAGCACAGGCTCCGGACGCGCAGGCTCAGCGGCCATGGCTCACGGGCCCAGCTGCTCCGCGACATGCGGGATCCTCCCGGACCGGGGCATGAACCCGCTTCCCCCGCACCGGCAGGCGGACTCTCAACCACTGCACGACCAGGGAAGCCCTGTACATGTTATATTAAGTTTATTTTTTCAGTGGAAGATTCTTCTGGTTAGCACTACTGTGTAAATATCTTTTAAGTCAAAAACAGTTTCTGTTTTTTAATGGACTGTACATTTCATCCCAGGATGCAGTTGCATTTTTTGACCCTTAAGATAGTTTTACAAATAACTTTGCAAGCAGTTTTATTAACCATGGCCTGTGATTTATTCATTGGCAGAATTGATGGTTCAGTGACTTGGAGCTAAAGTAAGTGAAGATGAACCTTTGCCCTGAAGCCCCCTGAACATCAGTGGGAGAATGAGTTTTGTTGCTACTGATTTTAGCTGCAAGGGTCGAGTGCCACATGGTTCATTTAATTGCTCCAGGTCTCGGAATTTTAAAAGATACCTCATTTATTGTTTTTACCATGTGAGTTACAGGATAGAGGAAGGCCCTGACTCCAATGAAAATTTGTGCTATGACAATAAGCAGTTTCTTCTTTGTGTCTGCAAAATAAGTAAATAATTTTTGCATACTATGTTATTAGAAACCTAATTCCATTCATTTTTTATTAGCGTTACCAAAACCTGGAAAGAGAAGAAGAAACTTTCAGAGAGCAGTTTCTGACATATGTAGCGTCAAAAACAATGTCTGATTGATTGGCTTTGGTTGTGTGATTTGAGCAGTGCACACTTGCTTAGCTCATTGCTTAGCATGTACGACTGGCATGTTGCACTAATGGTTTATATAGTGATTCCCAAGTAAAGAATTATAAGTACATATAGCTATGTTGAGTTTTATACGGCTGTCAGAGAGGTCTACGTGTGTGTGTGTATACATAGAAAAAGCAATCTAGATTCTCAAATTGTATCACTTAAAATTACAATAGTCGTTGAATTTTATTTGAACAAGAAATAATAGTTCTCTTAATTTTTTTATGTGAAATTTGATTTAAAAGTCACATAACAGCTACTTGTACAGGGTAGATACTTTTACAGTGAAGCTAAAAGTTCTGAAGAATTTCAGTAAACTGCAGAATGCCTATCGACCTATGTAGTTGACACAGAACAATAATGAGTTAAATACCCTTTAATGCTAAAGAAAAAGTATCATAAGTTGTTCTGTATTCCATGTGTTTCAAAGGCATAGAGCAGAATGTAGGTTAGAAATTAAAGTAAAAAACGTTAAAAAAAAAAAGAGAGAGAATTGGCTATCAGATTAGTGGCAGTAGAGAGCACTGGTACATTAACATCACTGACAATGTCAATTCATTATCATTGATGGCTAAATAATCTTAGAAATGCTCAGTGGACCTATTAGTTCCTGAACATAAGCAGCTCATGCTGCATTTCTTCATTAGCTTTAATTGCTATAAATTTTACCTTTTAAAAAATCATGCTTTAAAAGGTGAAGTGATCTTTCAGGAACATTAACTCTATAATTTTGTCCCAAACAGAAGGTCTTGCACTATGTTTTCTTTTCTTCAGTAGTTAGTATCTTAGTGTCTGTTTTAGAATTTTACTAATAACCCCTTCACTGTTTGAGTTGTAAGAAATAAACGGTTTTTCAAACAGTTCTGTTAGAGTAATAATATATGAAAACAGTGGGGCAGGCACATTTTTGAAGTGAAATTATTACTCACAGTGTTGTACTATTTTTCCTTAGTTACCTCTTGAAAAAATCTTATATTCTATGGTGAAATTGATGAAAACAACAAACAGTACATTTTGTTGAAAAGACCTCAGTATTAATGTTTCAGTTTATTTGTAATTGTATGACTTCTTTTTCCTATAAGATTTTAGATGCTCATCAAATATGTATCATATATTATTTACTAAGGCTTAATTTAAGGGTTGTGCATTAGCTACTCCTTTAATAAAAACTGCCTTTTAAACTTTTATTTCAGTTGTTTGAACCTACACTGATCTTCTTTGAATTTTTAAGCTCAATTTCAAGATCTCTCTGTCCCCCTCATCGGCAAATCTTAGCCACAGTATATCATGGATTTGAGTTATTTGACCAAAGAGGCTGAATGTATTGTATTCGATGTCTAATTCCTAATGCTAGCTGGGATTCAGAATTCAAGATTTAAGTTTTGTTTACCCATGGTTTACATGCTTATGTCAGGGTATAGGTTTCAGAAATGTATTGCTCTGCACTCCCTGTTTTAAGAACATGTTATAGATAACTTCATTTAAAAGCCTTTCATTTTACTTTCACTTTTAGGAGGAGCACTTTTTGAATTACAGTTTCTTAATGTTTTTCTTACTTCTGAGCATGACCTCAAGAGGAATTTTATAGAATATAGGTGAATTTATATTTAGCACTTGTTGGATAGTTAACATGAAAATGTGCTATGGGTCGGACATAGGGCTTAGTGGGGGAGAAAATAAAAAATAATAGAAAGCACCTTATATAGAAGTTAATAATTTTGTTGGGAACATATGTTTAAAAATAGGTAAACACATTTTTACTAAGTCCGTGATCTTTACCTTTGCTATTTTTCAGTAGTCAAGACCTTAAAAATCTCAATGGCTTAAGAACATCATTGTGGAAACCGTGTTTTGTTAAATTCATTTACATTTATTTTAATAATCTCTTCCTCCGTGTGTGTACACACATACACACACACATTAGTGTATATATAATACTCTCAGTAATAAATAGTATTTAAGCAGTGCTGTGTTTTAGTGTACAGCTTAATTAGCAGTCGTTTCATTTGTTGATCTCAGTTTCATGAGATTGTTTATCTCATGTTTATTACCCCATTGTACAGATGGTAAACCTGAGAGTAAAAGTATTTTTCGTGATGGAGTTAAATTATGGGCTAGTAATGGTAGACCACTGTTTCCTTCCTTTTAACTGTACCTTTTCTTTATTTCTTTGCTTTTGTAATATCTGTTGTTTTAGTTACTGATTTTAATTTGTACTTATTTTTTTTCTCTCTAGGTTGTTTTCTCTAGCATGTGATAGCTGTAACTTCCAGCCCCCAGCCACTTTTGTTTTCTGCTTTTGCTCAGACTTACATTATTCTAAAAAATTGCTTGCACTGTATTTTATTTTAATATTCTGGTATTCAGTCTCTTTCTCTCTCTCTCTCTTTTTGGTCTCTCTCTGTTTCACTTTTCTCATATTAAAGTGTTGTTTTAAATAATTTTATTATTTTTCCTCATTGTTCTTTATGTGTTGATAATTTATTGCACTTGAGTTGTTACAGATTGAACATGTTAGTATCATAGAAATAAGTGCCTAAAAAAGTGAAGATTTTATTGTCTTTCCATTAGGGTGAGAGGGGTAAAATTGATCTTCTTGGGTTATGGTTTTTGTTTTTCATTACTAGTTACTACAAAAAAAGACTAAGTAGAAAATTAGTAAGTAGCCTGTGATTTCAGTAAACCCAGGAAATGATACCTAACTTTTGTATGCCATTATTCACAAAAACCCCAGTATGCATGATTTAGGGGTTATGTTATTTTCTGACTGCTTTCCCTGTGTCTAATCTTGAATCTTGTATATAAACAGTTGAGTAGTACTTAGCTAATCCGGAGAGAATAGGGCATTTACTAAATCTGTCACCTCTGGGTTCATGAAAAGATTCTAGACATTTTCTATTGTGTATTAATGTGCTTATGAACTGTTTATTCTTAGTTGGTTTAAGAAACCTTAAATAGAAAGTTACTAATGCAGCAAAACTCTTTTTTTGTGTGTGTGTGGCATTACCTAGTTTTTGTGCATTAGAAGGGATCTCTATGTAGATGATTATAATGTCACTTTCTGACCTTTGCAGCTTGAATAATTGTAAATCATTGCTTCATAACGTGTCAGAGAATGTCTGTACTAGGCAATTAAATGGCAGAATATAATAGACCAAATTATTGCCTGTCATGTTTTCAACAACACAGTTAGTATTTGAGTTACACTTAATCATTACGTGCATTAGCAACTTC